CCGTACGCGATAATGTATCGGCTATGTATAAGTACTTCCCGGGCTTATAAACAAGCGTGAAAGAGTATGGTTGCAGTCGCATTAGCATTCGCTGTAAGCGTGCTGGGGCACTAACCAAGGGTTTGTTAATAATGCTTACTAAAGGCTTGTGATCAGTTTCTATAATTACGTCTGACCTTCCGTAAATATACATATAAAATTTCTCACATGCAAATACACACGCAAATAGTTCTTTTTCGATTTGTGCGTACGCTTGTTCCGTTTTAGTGAGTGACTTAGACGCATAACACACTGGAAGATTGTTTTGCATTAAGCATGCGCCCAGACCGTTTTTGCTTGCATCTACTGACAATACTACCGGCTTTTCCATATCGTAATATTGTAGAACAGGGCGACTCGACAGACACTCTTTTAATTTTTCAAAACATCTATCATGTCTACTATCCCAATGCCATTCTATATCTTTTTTTAATAATTCTCGTAATATTGACGTCTTTTCTGAAACTTTTGGTATGAAATTGCTAACATACGTAATTAAACCCAGAAACCTTTCCAAATCTTTAATATTGTTCGGTCTTGGCATGTTTTTTATAGCAACGATGTGTGAGTTGTCTGGATAAATACCGTCTTTGGTGAATTTATGGCCCAAGTATTTTATTTCTGATAACCCAATTTTGCATTTTTGTTTATTTAGTTTAATGTTAATTTCCTGGCATCTTTTTAACACTTTACGTAGTCTCTGATCGTGAATTTCTTTCGTCGGACCATGTATCAACAAATCGTCGACGAACAATACAACTCCTTCAATGTCATCGAAATTTTCGTATAGCTTCTTGTGAAATATTTCTGAAGCAGAGGATATTCCGTAAGGCATATGTAGGAATTTATATCTTCCGAAAACAGTGTTAAAAGTGCACAAATCTGTACTTTCCGGATGTAATTTCACCTGCCAAAACCCCTGTTTGGCATCCAGTGTACTGAAATACTTCGCGCCCATTAAATTTGCAGTAATCTCCTCAAAAGTAGGCAATTTAAAATGTTCCCTTTTTATTGCTCTATTCAGATCACGTGGGTCTAAACACAAACGTAGGTCACCATTAGACTTTTTTACAACCGTTAGACTATTTACCCAGTCTGTAGGTCCCTCGACCTTAGCAATAATATTTTCATTTTCCATTTCCTTCAATTTACTCCTAACTTGTTCCCTTATAGCAATAGGTAATTTTCTCGGTGCACGAACAACGGGTGATATATCATTTCGGATTTGAATCCTGTGTTCTCCTTGCAAACAACCCATACCTACGAAAATGTCTGGATATTCATTTAGAATATTCTCGCTGCTATTGTGATGTTTCAATGATAAAATTCTCTTAATCAATTTTAACTCTTCACATGAACTTTTACTTAATACGGGAGGTGAATCTACGTCGGCTATAATGAATTTTAAAAAATAATGATTGTTTTTATGTGCAACTTTTAAGTAACATTCACCTAGTACCACAATATCCATACCAGAATAACCCTGCAAGCGTGTTGAAGACCCGGTTAAATCGTTTTCCGATATATTAATTAACTTTAGATATCGCTTTGGCAAAACATTCACGTCCGCTCCGGTATCCAGCTTAAAAATTATCTTTTGTCCGCGTATATCTAATTTCACTACCCAATCACTACTAACATGACTATCAATAACAAAACATTTGCGACTTGCCTGATCAGAAGAATCCTCCTGTACCGTATACACCCGACACATACGGGAAAAGTGGTTTTGACGTTGACACTTGTTACACCGTTGACCGTATGCTGGGCACTCATTTCGCTTATGCGTTCTGCCACAATATCCGCAATTCTTAATCATTTTCTGCGATCTTGAGTTGTTGTTTACTTGCGAGCGGAATATCGACGTTGATGGTGATGACTCACGCTCACGGTTTGTACGATAACGAGTGACCTGTGCCGGCGGCGGAAAGTGCACCCGCGGGGGACGGCCGCGACTAGACATCGGCTGGCGGCGATTGATGGCATGAATGTCGAAGTGATCCTGCTGCTTGTTATTACATTGTGTTAACTCGTGTACGTGATGATTCTCCGATTTCATATTCATAGCTTGCATTCTCGACATTTCTTATAATTTACAAATTTCTACTGCTTTTGAAAGTGTTATTTCTGGTTCTCTCAGTAATCGTTCTGATAATGCAACATCTTGAATTCCGCATATTAACCTACTGCAGACAAGGTCGTAGCATAGGGTTTTAAATTCACACTTTGAGGCAATCTTGTTAAGTTCAAAAGCGTATTGTTCTACTGATTCCAATTCTTTTTGGTCTCTTTTAAAGAATTTTTGTCTCTCAACTGCAAAATTTTTTTTCGGTATGAAAAAATTATCGAATTTCAAAAGTAGTTCTTTAATATTTTTGACTTCTCCTGTGAATTGCTCGTATACTTCGCGACATTTATCACCAATTACGTGCAGCAATATATTTATTTGTACTTTTGGATCTTTTTGTGATAATTCGCAGGCTTCGAAGTAAATATTGAATGCTTTCTTCCATTTTTCCCACTCGGTACACAAATTGCCAGACGTTACGTTAACCAAATTATTTTCAAAATTAAACGGCCGCGGTGGCTGCAAAACTGACTCCATCATTAATATTTCACCTTTTCTTTTCACTTTCAATATTTCAAGTTACTTTTATAGATAATATGTACGTTTACACTTCACTTCATATTTGAATTAATTAATTTTGCAAATTTTTCATCGTTAAGAAAAAATCACGGTAGTACCGGCTGCGCCATGTTTGGTTTGGATACGTGGGAACGTCAATCAAACTCCAGTGTTCGGTTAAGACTGCCTTCTATATTTATTTACAAACACCTACATTTTGGACACCAGCTTGACTTTGCCATCTAAGTAACTACGGAACTGAACGTCACAAGAGATGTCGACACCAAGGATCCCGATGCTCTCCGAAATATTTAATGGCTCGTTCTGGAACTGAAGGTCTGCAGCAAATGGAGTCTTTTTAGCGGTGAACGCGCAAACTTGTGTCTCGGTGGGTTAAATTGGACTAAGTTTAGTCCTCCCCAATCAGAAACCCTCTTCAGGGTTTTTTTTGTTATACCTTTTATACCTTTTGTTACTTATACCTTTTTCCATCCGTAACTGGGCTATTCTACAGGATGCCCCATACCAGATTGCTGTTGATCCTGTTTCTCCCCATTCAACTACCCCAACCTTTCTGAATACTACAGATACTATTAGGTATCTTGGGACTTCGCTATGTAGCAGATGCTAATATTATGAAAATGGTGCATCTTGCACTTGGCCGGTCAGTTTTAACCTATTGTATCTCTACATGGGGAGGAGCTGCGAAATCCTTTCTCATGTCTCCTGAACGTGCGCAAAGAGCAATTCATATGGTTGCTTGTTTTAAGCCATATCGTTTTTCTACTCAGGGTCTTTATTTTTCTCAACTCCTCACTGTCAGGCAACTGTTTATTCTCCATACTGTGTTAATGCAACATGCAATCAAACCTTACAATAGCGCCTCCACGAGGCGAAATCATCTAGTCGCTACTGACATTCATCTCAAAACTGGTTTTAGTCATAGGTACTTCTGTTTCTTTGGACGCTATCTTTATAATAAGCCCCAAGATAGGTTGAAAATTTATGAACTGAATAAATATATGAGTGCCGGAAGATGCTTGTGAACTGGTTGCTCAACCTTTGCTATGAGGAGGCTATGGCTTCATCCGAATGCTTAATTTAAATTGTAAATTAAGGTTTGCAGTTTGGTTCACATTATTATATAGGCACATATACACACATTATATAGGCACATATTCAAACACCAGACGCAAACAACACACACATACACGCACGCACACACGAACGCACGCACCCACGCACGCTAACAATAAGTACTGTCTAGTCTTAGTTTGTATTTTTATGGTTTTACTTAGTTTAACAAGTTTAATCATGTACTCACTTACTCCTTATTACTTAGTATTTAAGTCTCGTTATTCAAGGGATGGGGCCTGGTGACTTGTAATACAGGTGAAATACCTACATCTAGCACCAGCTCCAACAATACACTACTGTAACGTACCTACTAAGATTTATATTGTGTTGTATTTTGTGGTGAGAAATAAACATATTTATTATTATTATTATAATTTGACCGGGTATATTATTATTTATTTTGCAATTGCAGTTTTGGACAGATGACGGACGTACAACGGATGTAGACTCCCTGTAGCAACCGAATCACTTGAAAATTGCATCTTACAACTTTGCATCAGGTGAACCATGTAACTTTTAAACTCGTTTTAAATACTATAACAAACACAAACTTTGTGTATGTATTATAGTAAAAGGAAAAACGAACTGCCGCATATGTCCGAAAATCACTTTGTCAATCGACTGATATAACAGTAATCTCGGGAAGAGCGGGCCTAGAGAGTTTGAAAAGACGATATTTTAAAGTAAGTATACTTTTTAATACACAATCCCTTTGCTGAATGATGCTGCTGAGAATGGAGAACCATTCCTCCTTGTTGGTGTCGTATCCTACCCATTACCTATTGTACTTATTTCATTTGTCTACCGATCTCTTTAGCTATCCTCGCTTTCTTACTCCGTTTTCTAAAGAAATTGTGAGTGTACTGTAGTCTAGGCTCTACTCTATGAGTAGAATCACTGGCTGAATGAATAGTTTTGTAATTATAATGTGTTTTGAAAAATGAAGTAAGAAAAGAATAGAGCATCTTGATATAACGAAATATAACCCAACGCCGAAAGCATGTAAAAAAGTGCAATAAAGTGTATTTTGAAGATTATTCCAGTTTAAATTCATAAAAGTACCTCTCGCTACGCAACCCAAGCTACGCCTCAGTTACAGTACTTACATAGATGTGCTCTTTGTACGTATGATATCGAGTTCTTCTTAACGCCATTTCGACGGTTAGATGTTTTTGCAGTGATTTTAGAGAGAACTTACCTGATGGAAATCCAAGTTAGCCGTTGCAGTGATCAGATCCAAGATGGCGGAAAAAGACCCCCTGGCAGCCCGTCTGAAGCCTTCAGGAGGACCCTCAGCAGCTCCACCTGCCACACTCATGGGAGACTGGGACCACTGTCAATAAATTATAGACAACCATTATTGCCAGACAAATTGCCAAACAATCAGACAAAACTAAAATGTGGTTAGAAAGTATATAAAATTTATTCAATCAATATTTTTGTGAATTAATAATGATTTATCGAGTTCTTAGGTTTTCGCGATTGTTACACATAGGACATGAAAGTTTACGCGATTTAAATCCGATTGAAAAATAATTTTTCAATCATTAAGAAAGGATTGTAATATTTTAATGTCTTATGCAAGCACTAGAAACCACGTGACGTCATAAGTAGGTTAGCAAGGAAACGTTACCATACTGACTGCTCGCGCGTTATCTTGTGTTCTTTCTCCGTTTAATCAGGTTTTAATTCTTTCACTTTTAATTAAAACCTGTAAAAGTTTTGGATTGAGGACAATTAGTCAATCAATTTGTAAAATTCTCGGTAACGGCATGTGTACATTATTCAGATTGTTTACCTACCGATGACGTCATGCGTTTGCTCGGCATTTCTTTTTATTATAGCTGTATGCATCTACAGCTCATAACACAAGGTGTATACATCAACATTATTATTTTTTATTGAATTTCACGATGTTTTGCTACCGGGTTATTTTTATTTTTTTTTTTTGTAATAACTTTACTAGTTTCTTATAATTATTAAGAGTCGATACTATTTCGAATTAAAATTTTTCCCGTACCAATACGGTTCATTTTGATTGGCGCGAGGGGCAGGGACACTGGCTTTATTTTTACAAAAGAAATTGAAGCCATTTAAAAAATGTATATCCATTGACTTACAAATAAATGGACGACGGGTCTAATACAAAAATCACGAAAAAAATGTCCCAAGTCAACCTATTTAAACGTAGTGACATGTAAAGGAATATGAAAAAGCTAAAAGGTTGAATTTAAATTGTAATGTCATCGCAGTACTGTCTAATTTGGCTTGCTTCGCTGTCAGTCGAACAAACGAAGACTAAAGCGTGAATGACGCTCTGTATACGATTTTAACGCCCTATAAGTTCGGACACTTTTTAGCGCGGACCCGACGTCCATATAATTGTAAGTCAATGTGTATATCCTATACTATTCGTGTTCTATTTAGTTCAGTTGATCTAAAAAAAATCATTGGTATATATGTAAAGTACTTATTGAATACAGCGGTTTTCTTGTAAAATTTCAAGGTAAGTTTGTGTTTTTTTTTCCACCATATAGTAGTCAGTGTCCTCAATTTTACTACATATTTTATTCAAAGTGATTAATTCAACATTTTCACTGTTGTGCGGAACTAAACAAAGCCATTGAGGTTGTATAGATTCTTGATAGAAAGATCGATTACGAGGCCTCAGCCAGAACTCAGACTGGAACCAATTTAAAAAGTTCATTTCTCATAATGGTCCTACCGGGAATCCAAGTTTGGTAATTAAGGTCATCACAATAACATACTGTCACACTTGCCTTCTAATGATGCTTGACAAAGCACTCTCGCTACTTCCATCGCATTAATAATATATATAAAGGTAAACCGAGGTCCACCTTTCCCCACATTTCCATTTGCAATCGCTCCATATATTTATGTCACATTACATAAGTATAAGTAACAATTAAACTAACTATAATGATACCACGGGTCAATAATTCATGCAAATAAAAACATTCATTCGTGTTATTTTCATTTTGTATTTTTGTACTAACAGTAGAATAGATAACTTGTAAGTGTACTAACAAAATGGACAGTATATTGTCTGCAATAATAATAATTTTTTTTTTATAAACCAAGAAGACTGCTAATCTCCACACCATATAGATACGACAGATCGTAACTCTGAAAAAGGTCAATTTTCCTACATACAATTTTCATACATCATCCTTTTAAACTTTCGTTTATATTTTGTTAAATGAACGATCAAGATAGTGTTTAAGATATTTCGGAGACCCCACCTCCGCGACAGAGCAACGAACGTTTTGGATGACTTGTTACCAGCAAAGTCAAGGAAGCAGTACGAAAAAAGTTACCAAGATTTTATGGAATGGAGAATGGCGAAAAATACGTAGCCCCTGTGTGAAAACGTAGGTACTTTTTTTGCATTATTTTACTAATAATTACTGCTAATAGCTCTGATCAGAGCCGCAATTCCGGTCGTAACATGCGGTTCCCAAACATATCATAGAGATCTTATAATATGTGTATAGATAAAGCACTATATGTAACTGTACCTAATTAGGATGTAAAACACTCGTGTGATGTTTTTATGAAACCCACTGTCGTATTTTAATGCCTTTCACTATGTAACAGTCACATCGTCACTACTATTATTATCATGTGACTATGCAATAAATTATTATGAATGAAGTAAGATTTTCGGTGCCAGTGAAATAAAATCTCCATAAGACTCTAGAGTCAAAATAATGTTGACTTTTATGAAAGTTTGTACAATACCATGCGCTTTTAGTCACGAATTTAATAAAAAGAGCCATTTTCAGGCAACACGTGCTGTTAATTTGTATTTGGCAGACTCCATTTGGTATGCACGGGGCATGCTACCAGGAGAGCAAAGTGGAGGTAGAGTTATTAATAAATCAGTTGTGAATATACGGTCAGGCTCAAACGACAACATGAGTGTTGCCTTGTGAAACAAACAGGAATTCACGTACGTATTACGTAGTACAGTTTTTTCAAATCATTCAGATTTTAAGTTAAAAGACGAAAAGCAACTTTATTCCGAAAAAGCCTCAATTTCGACATTAGAAATGATAAGGTAAACTTTTAACTGCATAATTAAGTTTGCGATGTAGGTACTATTGTAGACATGTACAGGGTCAATAGCACGTTAAGTTTGACAATTAAGATTTGAATTCACCTTTATACCGTTTTCAATAAGGACAGTCCAAAGTGTCAAGCTGGATGTGTGACGTGCATGTTTCAATAACACCAAAACATAAAATAACCACAGAAGTCACCACACTCTTCAACACCACATTCAAATATGATTATAAAAAAGTTCCTGAGGCGGGATCCTTATAAGAATTACGTTTTTTTAATTTATTATCAACATTGACTTACAAATAAATGGACGACGGGTCTAATACAAAAACCACGAAAAAAATGTCTCAAGTCAACCTATTCGAAATTTAAATTGTAATGTCATCGCAGTATCGCGCTGTCAGTAGAACAAATGAAGACTAAAGCGGAGTTTGGCGCTCTGTATACGATTTTAGCGCCTTACAAGTGCGGACACTTTTTAGCGCGGACCCGACGTCCATATAATTGTAAGTCAATGATTATCACAGTCTTTTTTCGCGTCGCGGTTATAGCGAATAAAGATGGCCGCCAGCTGTCAAAATTGATCTGACGTCTTCCATTTCGATCAAAAATTATAAAAAATTTTGAAAGTGAAAAAAAATTTGCGTTTTCATATTTTTGGAGGTAGACGTAGTTCAAAAATGTTCATGATTGGTGCACGTTCCACTACCTCAGTTATCTAGTATAGACTCAAGTGTCTCGTTTAAAGTAGTTAACTTGTAGTTTAATTTACAGCCAATCTGTAATTATACAACCCACCTTTTGGGAGAATGGTAAATATTTTTATTGTTATTATTTTTGATATTTATTTTAGATTTATTTTAGACTCTTGCCTCTAGCTCTCCCGTGGACTAAAAGATTAATTTTGAATTTTAAAATGGAGAGAATTTTAATGGCGGTATTCCGGTATTACTATTATTGTTATCGATAAGTGTCAAATTATTGTATAAAATCATATTATAGCTCTTAAATAATATTTGAATTAACTTATAGTTATGAATATCTAATTCTAATTATTTCACATTCAATTGCTTATTATTTTAATGTTACAGGTAGTTTATGAATGTTGTGTACTCCTTACACGAATACATTTATTTAAGTTTTCAGGAAAGTGTAATTATATTCTGTGGATGTACCTTATTAAATGCAAATTGATTTTAATTTTGATTGATTTAATATTTGCACATCCGCGTGCAGGTTGATATATAAATACTGTATTCTGGCAAATAAATGTATTCTATTCTATTCTAAATAAATAAATAGAATGCAATTACAACGTAATTGATGATGTCAAATTCATAATTCATTTTCATTCATCATCTAAGATTGGTACCTGTAAGGAGCACGTAACTTTAGCTTGTTTGAAAAAACAAAATACATTCGCGATTTAGATCCGAAATAATGTTTGATTTCTTATGGGCGTAACATGCTATTTTTTTAATAATATCACATAGGCGTGCACATGTGGATTTAATAATAATAATAAATTTTTCACCTCACTAGCTCGGAAAGGCTTTCTTTCTCATTAGAAACCTACGCGCAAAAGCGATTTTTGCACACTAGCGTGGAAAAAGTTTTTGATATTCGAACTTGACGATGGACTGTGGTGCGCGTAACTTTTTTTTCGATGAAAAAAAATAAGATAATGGCACGTTCAATTAAGCGATTTGTCGTACATTACTTATTTATTTAACATAAATCCGTCGGTATATTTTATTCTTATTGTTGTTGACATTAAATTGACAATGATAACTAATCGTGTTTATTAAATTATTTTAATTCGTCAAAGAACTAAAATAATTTCAATAGTCACACAAAATAAAAGTACAAGCAAGAATAAAAATTGATGAGGTGTAAATTCAGTAAAAAAAGTGTAAATGGGTTGATAATGATGATGATCAAAATAAAAATTAGACACTGAAGTTAGAGACTTGTCATTTAAACATATTGGACATTTAAATTCGAATATTAATATGAACACTTTCACAGTCCATGACTCCAACTGGTGTCGTCAATTGGCTTCAACCATAAGTCCATGCATACCCATAAAGTCGCAACTACATACTCCTTCAGTGTCTAATATTTTGGTTGGACTTGTAGACCAAAGCCCTTTAAACTTGTGTCAGGTGTAATTTTTCAAAAATAACAAAATATTTCGGATACATTTATAATGTGAGAGTAAAAGACCGAAACCAACACTATTTTACA